CTAGTGTGGACGGGATAAAATGACAACGTTTTCTGTCTGTAGAGCACAACCCACCCCGTAATTAAAACCCCGAGAATGAGGTAAAAACACAACGTTTTCTATCTGTAAAGCAAAAATAGCCACGAACTTGAACCACAAGGATGGCTCTAGACGGGATGCTTTGCGCGCCGTGTTTAGTGTTTATTATCCGGGAACCCAAATAATGCAAAGAATACCACAACGGTAGTAATTTTTACTAATATTTTCATGGAAAAATGATAAAAAAGGGTATTATTACTCAGAGCACAACTAAACCGCTACTTTGGAAGAGGTATATTGACGACGCTTTCGATATGACAGAACCAAAGACCAGATAGGAGAATTTGTAAGACTTGCAAATTACAAATGTACATTGTACCATGATACAATCACAACCCATGGCTGAAATATCAGACTCATAAATTATGCTCTTGAAAATAAAAGTGTAAAAATGTGAGAGGTTTAACAAGGAATTGACCCTTAACGTCTGGATACACATTACATAGAGACGAAGACATTCGAATACTTGAATTTGTATTGGTGTCATTTCCCAGGTACAAAGCAAGGTACGAAGAGAAGCGCTACGCATCTGCGAGAAAATTTGGCACAATCTATGTTTAATAAGAATAGAGGATACCAAAACGAAATTTTGGGGAATGTATCCTGTATTTTGTTTTTACTAGGAGAAGAAGGTCACTGAAAAACTTAATCGGGATTAATCTTTCGATCGATTGTGAACGTTTCCCACCTGATGTTCACCCAAGTGCCTAGATGGGCTTTCTGTTTGACCTTCTTCCGAAATGTCGTGTAGCATGGCCTCTGCTAAATCACTGCTGGGATTTTTTTTTTTTGCAAAAGCCCTAACTGAGCTGTCTTATGTTCATTCCATGCTTTTAGAATTGATCTGGTATATGTAATATGGCGGCTGTCCACTCCTGCAAGATGACCTCTTTTTGATAGCTTCGCTACCGCGAGCACGTAATGAAAATGGCAAAAATACGTAGCGAATACTACACACACGGTTGGTTTTCCTCAACTCACGGACAAACGGACACTTTCGCTGTGCAAGTTGATAATTAATTAGCGATTTTTCTCGTCGGTCTCAACATCTAAGAGATACTCAATCTGAAATTGTCACCTTTTTATTAGAATAAACTAAAGTATATAGCCCAAAAAGTTTTTTTAACATAGTAATAGGAGTTTCAATGTGAAGGTAAGTGCTGGTGTTGACTAGAAATGGAAGCAGAACTGTAAGTAGTGTGAATGTCTTAACATTTAAGCCTGTGTTCCTCGAAATTGTTGGCCACTTCAACCCGTGGAAGTATACCCTCCCAATTGATTATTTCGGTTCCGAGCTAAACGAGACAGAACAAGGCGCAGAAGAGACTTAAGACTTTTTCCCCCAACATTTTAGGCAAATTTTAAATAGTTTTCAGTGTCTATTAGCGCAGGACATCCTTCACATACATTTATGCTATTTCCTTTAAAAATTTAAACTTCTACATTTACTTTAAAAATGTCAACTTCCACATTATGATTTGCTAAGAGAAATCCCCTTTGCATTTAACACAATGCAAAAGAAATAAAGGTCAAACAGACTAAAAATTAATTGATCACACGACACGTACACGCTCGGAAAATTCGTCCACTAAACACCAAATTAGTTTTTGGATTAGCTTTACCTTTCTAGAAAAATTATATCTGATACCAAGCTTGAGAGAAGTATTCTGTATAAATTCTGCGAAAATTTCTGTTTGCGTGGCTAAAATTTGCATAATCTTTGTGTTCATGCTGAACATTAACGTAAAATTAACAAGGTTTTGTAAATTATTTTTTTACATATTCCCAGGGTCTTTGTAAGCTGAATTATTCGTTTAATCTAACTCAAATTGCACTAGGTATACTACCCGAAAAAAAAAATTGAGATTGTATAAAATTACGTTAAGCTTGATTTCATAATTTTTCCAATTTTGGCTACATTTACATACCTGAAATGAATGTCGAAACTTCATTATTAATAGTAGTTTTTGCTCAGATCATCGTAAAAAGTTAACGACAGGCGTAAAAGAAGCGGGATTGTCAACATCATTGCATCTGTAACCCTAAGATAAGAAGAAAAACAAGTGGAAAGTTTTGCAAAGTATTTAAATAACACTGAGTCAAAACAGTGCAGAGTTTCATAAAGCTGATTTGACATAAACTTACTTGAAGGGAAAGAAACGTTTTATTAGAAACTTATAATAAAGATTTAAAGCTTCAGTCTTGCTTTGACAAATGTCTTGCCTGAACAAGTCGATAAATCCCTTCATAAATAACTTAAGGACTTTAAGCTGAAGAATTTTTAATTATCCGTGCTACATTCTTCACCTTGTGTTTTTATCTGCACGAGTTAAGGCCATAAAACTTTCAAACATGTCTTCTCTGTGTAATAAAATCTTTACTATAAAATCAAAACTATTGTTTTCCAACTAAAATTTACCTTGGAATACGTGAATTTGCCAAATACAGAGCTCTTCCCCTAGGACTTCGTTCTAACACTAACGACTGAAAGCGCAGCTGGCAGTGGACAACAAGTAAATATTAAATCTTTGGCTTTGAAAAAATGCAAATATGTGTGTATTGCGGTTTGTAATTTGCATGAGAACTATCGAAAAGATACTGAAACTCATAGTAAGAGGTAATAGATTGCTGCGAGTAAGAGTGAATTTGCGTAATTGCTTTTTGTTGCATCTGATTGGTATTTTAGGTCGGAGCGTGAAAAATTAATCTATTGTTAGTCGAGGAAGTAGATATTTTTTCAATTAAGTGTGGTTGGGTGTCACCAAGCAATTTTCATATCTCACCATGAATTTCCTATTGAACTATTCATTCGCGTGGGTTGTCACAGATGAAAAGAGTCTTTGCAAAGTTCAGTATGGAGATTATATGACATCCTGTAGTAAATGCTAGGCTTTTGTAGCTAAAGGAAAAAAAAAACATCCGGCAATACGTGTTATTAAGTCATGGAGCGAAGTTCTAAAAACACCGAACGTTAGAGCCGTGTTATTAGTCATAAACTCCTCCGAAACTGGTAATCGCGTTGTTTCTTTGTTCATTTCGAAATAATTCAAAATGGTTTTTAAAACTCTCTTCTATTCACTGGGAATAAGCGTTCAGAATTTTTTTAAATAAAGTTGACAAAGTGGGGATTGAATATTTCAATTTGTTTATTCAATCTGTTTTTGCGACTTTCCGGGCTACCAGAATTTCCTCAATCCATTTCTTGTTTTCTTTTCTTTGGTATGGGAAAAGTCATTTTAAATTGCTTTTTTCAGACTGTCTTACTTGACAAAAAAAGTAAAAAGCTAAAACAAAAAACAAAAATACCCTCACAATAATGAGAAAATCGATAGATGGGAGAAGCCATGACGCCATGATGGCCTTGGGCAACGAGTCACGACAAGAACGGCCGTGCACTCAGACTAAACTAACGTGCACCCGACTTCTGATGTAATAATTAACTGGTTTATTGTGATATTCTTCTTTCTTGCAAAACAAACCGAACATATCTTAAATTTACATGATAGTTATAGCATGTTTGTCCTCAATGGTCCCATATTAGTCACCGCAGCTTGACTTTAAATTGTAATTNGGTAAGTCTAAAATGAGGCGAGCGGCCTTATTCTGCAACACTTGCAGCTCAGACATTAAGGACGCGTTTCCGCGATCTCCCCAATTGATATCCCCATAGTCAAAAATAAGTGAATGAAACTATTGAAAAACATAATTCTAGCATTGAGGGGGTGGCAAGATTTGATACGCCTTGAAAGACCTAACTTTCCACTGACCTTACTACGAATATAGTCAATGTGGTCAGTCCAGGAGAAGCGGTTATTAATCACAATGCCTAGGTAAGTAAAAGAATCTACGTTATCGAGAGGAGTATCATCAGCCGAAATGAGTAGGGACTCGACTCTATTCAAGCGGGAACTACTATCGATAAGCAAAAATTTGTATTTTTGAACATTCAGAGTCAGTTGGTTTGACCGAAGCCACTCACATTTACGTTTTAAGTCAGCGTTAATCTTACTTTGTAATTCTACAGTAGATTAGGAAGCGAGATATAAAACAGTGTCATCTGCATATAAAGTAACCTGACATAATTGCTAAACATCAGGTAGATCATTCATGTAAATCATAAATAAAAGCGGGCCCGATATAGAGCCTTGAGCAACGCCAATCGATACAGCGGAAGCTTTAGAACAAGCATAATCGCAGCTAGTCATTTCTGTTCTGTTTGTTAAGAATTAAGTAAACCAGGCTTTGCCAGCATCATCAACACCGTAAGTTGAGAGCTTCTGGAGCAGTATTGAATGATTGACAGTGTCAAACACTTTGGCGAGGTCTAAAAAAACAGCACCGGTCAGGCAACCATTGTCCATGGAGTGAAGGATCTGATCAGAAAGCTGAGTGGCGGAAGTAACAGTAGATGACTTCAATCTAAATCCAAACTGGTTGGGTGACATTAAATTATTCTCAGTAAGATATGCATAAAACTGAGTATGTACCGCCCTCTCTTAAAATCTTGCTTACAGTCGGGAGAATGGAAATTGGCCTGTAATTAGAAGCATTCTGTTTATCACCCTTTTTAAACAAGGGTATAACCTTTGCTGTTTTCCATATCCAAGGAAATGTTCTTGTTTGAAGGGATAAATTAAATAAGGCCGTAAGAGAAGGAGTAATAACGTCCACAGCATCTTTTAAAAGACGCGCGCTAATTTTGTCCAGACCAACGGCCTTATTCGTTTTCAATGAACTGATGGATCTTGAGACAAAATCTTCACTAATCCGTTGAAACGTGAAAGTGGAGTGGCAGGCCGTAGCTTTAGCTATGTACGGTTCGGGAACGATTTTTTCCGCAAGGGACTTACCCACGTTCACGAAATATGAATTAAGAGTCGAGGCAATAGATTGA